TTCTTTGTCTGTGAAGCTCCTTATTTCTCCTCCTATTTTGAATGATACCTTGCTAGATAGAGTATTCTTGGATTCAGTCCCTTGCTTTGCATCACTTTGTAAATTTCCTTCTATTCTTTTCTAGCCTGATGTGTTTCTGTTGAGAAATCATATGATAATCTAATGGGAGATCCCATGTATGTAACTTTCTTTCTCTTTCAGTCTTTAAGATGCTCTCTTTGTCCTGCACATTTGCCGTTGTAATTATGATGTGTCTTTGTGTGGGTCTTTTGGGGTTCATCCTCTTTGAAACTCTCTATGCTTGTGTGACTTTTTTCTTCCCTGCATCAGGGAAGTTTTCTGACATTATTTCTTCAAATAAGTTTTCTAATCTTGTTCCACTTCTTATTGTCCTGGCACTCCTATTATTCATATGTTGCTTCATTTTATGTTGTCCCAAAGCTGCCTTAGACTCTCCTTCTGACTTTTAATTTTTTTCTCCAATTGCAGTTCAGTTTGGTTGTGTTTTGCTTCCCTGTCTTCTAATTTGCTAATTCGGTCCTCCGCTTCTCTTAGTCTACTGTTGAAACTTTCCATGATGTTCATTTTTTATTATTGCAGCTATATTACTCTTTATTTCTTCTTGATTCTTACATAAGTTTTTTATTTTTTTCACCTATATGGTTTATGAACTGTATGACCCTTATTATGAATTCTTTTTCTGACATATGGCATGCCTCTGTTTCTCTTAGCTGCTTTTCTTTCTTTCTTTCTTTTTTTTTTTTTTTTTTTTTTTTTTTTTTTGTGGTTCTTTGTCTCTCCTTTTTTGCTCTCACTAAAGGTTTCTAGGTGTCGAGTCATGCAGGGGCTGCTTCTTGGGTGGCTGTGGCTCCCTGTGTGGTGGTTGCTCCTTGGGCAGTAATGGCAGCAGTTGCTCCTTTGTTGGTGGCAGCTCCTCTGCTGGGCCCTCTTCACAGCAGTGGTGGCTCCTCTTGCAGGCAGGGGCAGACTGATTACGCAGGTGATGCTCCTCAGACAAAGATGGGCTGCTTGCACGTCTGCTGCTCCTCAGATAGGGGTGACCTGTGTGTGAAACTGCTGCTCCTTGGATGGGGGGCAGGCGCTTGCACAGCTGCTGCTTCTTGGTTGGGGGTCAGCTGCTCACATAGCTGTTGCTCCTCAGAAGTGTGCAGACTGTGTGCCACTGCTGCTCCTTGGACAGGGGCTGGGTGCACAGGGCTGCCACTCTTGGGTCGTGGGCGGGCTGCTTGTGCAGCTGCTACTACTTGGACGGGGGTTGGCTCTTTGTGCATCTGTTGCTTCTCAGATGAGAGTTGGCAGCTCATGTGGCTATTCTTCCTCAGACAAATGTGGGCTGAGTGCGGCTGCTGCTCCTCAGATGGAGGTGGGCTATGTGGGGCTGCTGCTCTTCAGATGTGGGGAGGCTGCTCGTGTGGCTGCTGCTCCTCGGACAGGGGTTGGGTGCTTGTGCAGCTGTTGCTCTTTCAATGTGGGTGGACTGCTCTCAAGGCTGCTGCTCCTCAGCCTGGGGTGGGCAGCTCCCAGGGCTGCTGATCCTCAGATGGGTGAGGGGTTCTCACATAGCCTCCAGTCCCATGGTCACAGTGCCCTGGACTAAAGAGTTGGGCCAGTCAGCGGGGAGCGTGCTTCAGAACACACAGGAGCCCACGATGGGAGTGGCTGGAGTCTCAGTGATCATGGGACCACAGCCAGAAAGCAGGTCCCTGGTGGGGGTGACTGTAGAGTTCTGGGTGTTATCTGAGGGCAATCTGGGAGCAGGTGAGGCTGAGCTCCCAGTCACAGCAGCTCTCCCCTTCAAAAAGGTGAGGCCTCTGCTGAAGAGCCGGACACTCTGGGACTGTTTTCAATGATAGCAGAGGCTTCCTGGTTAGGAGAGCCTGGACGCCTGCCCCTGAAGGTCCTGTGGGATCTAACTGTGCCTCACACAGACACACACACCACCACCACCACCACCACCACCACATCCACACACTCCTTTTTTGCTCGCTCACTCACTCACGCTCTCTCCTTCACTTCTGCCTTCTTCCTGCCTTTGTAGTTGAGTCTGCAGTGTTATTGACCCGTTAATGGATGGAGTCTCCTCTCTGGGTGTCTGGTTATGTGGCTCACTCTCTACCACATTGACCAAACAGGACAAAAAGGAAATTTGACAAGACACGACACAAAGGGAACAAAACACAAATGTACTCATGACACCGATAACCCCAGTATAAGTGACTACCAGGGAAAATAGAATTAAGGGAGAGAAAAGAGAGCATAAATGATATTTAAGAGAGAAAAAATGGTATGAGAGAAAAGAAAAAGAAGAAAAGGAAGAAAAAAGAAGAAAATATACATGGGGAGAAAACTCCAGAGAACCAAGAGATAAACCAAAACATACAAATACCAAATACCCAGTAAAGTGGGTGGGGCAGAATCTTATATACAGAAACTAAGGTTAAGAATTGGATAAACATGGGGAGGACCTCAGTTCAGTACAGAGGATGTAGAAACAGGATGAGTAGATAAGAAGAAGGAGAAAGAGAAGGAAAATAATAATAATAAATTTAAAAATAATTTTAAAAATAGGGTAAAAAATAAAAAAATTAGAATGATGAAAAAATAATGCAAAAATAAAGAAACAAACAAACAAGGAAAATAAAGAGAAAAGAAATAACAAAGTAATAATAAAATAAAAATGAAAAAGTGAAATGTCGTTCCTTCCCGCCGATTATGATTCCACTCTTCTGTACTGTCTGCAGCTTCTCAGTTTCCTGTTGTTGGGATTGAAGGCCTCTCTTTAGGCCAGTCCCTGTGGGCTCCCATGGACCATTCAGATTTTTGTTTTTTGGTGTCTTTTGTGCCACTCAGGGTGTAGTCTGGGTGTGGCTGTATTGGTTGCCTGGAGACTGTAGGGTGGAGCTATCTCCTCAGGATAAAATGGCTGCCTAGGTCCCACAAGTCAGGTATGACTATTCACCAGACTCACAGCCATCTCTCCCCAGCTTTTGCTGGCCCGAGTCACCAACTAGAATGAAGGTGTTTCATAGGAAAGCACTAGTGCTGTGCGTGGGCTATGTGCTGCTGCTTGTGCTCCCCATGCTCAACCTCCTGGACTACCAGTGGCACAAGGAGACACTACCTCAAATAAATTTCTTATCTCTGCTTCATTTATTGCCTCTTGTAGAAAATTCTCTTGTTCTTTCATTTGGGGGTTGTTTCTTTGTCTCCTCATTTGGCTGTCTGTTTGCATTCGGGACTATGGATTAGGTAGATCCTCTATGCCCCTCTATCTCTAGTATAGGACAGTGTCAAACACTGTTTCTGACTAATTAGATCAGTCAAAGACTGAAAGCCTCCAGGGACCACCTCTGCCTACAGATGATAGGATTCAAACTTGAATGGCCCCAGGAAATTGTCCTCAGGTGTGGTGAGAATGTTTTGCAACAAGGTGGGGCAGATGCTTCTGCCTGGAGGCTAATTGCTATTTTTGGTCTCTTAAGTGGCCTCAGGGCAAGGTGTTTTCCGATAGAGTGGCTCAACTGTCTTTCCCCCAGGCAAAGCAAATGTCTGTGTCAGGAAGATGTCCTCTGCTGTGTGAGGGAATGACTCAGCACAGAAAACTGGGGATGTCTGACATCTGAGCTATAACCCCCAAACCACCAATCCTGGCTTCGGCTCATACAGTTCCGGCCCACTCTGCCTTCCCTCTGCCAGAGCACAAGGTGGGTGACTCACAGAGAATTCTGTGCAACGGCTGTTTAAAGGGGGGCCTGAATTTTCAGCCATCACTCCCTAGCAGACAGCAACCCCGCTGCTTTTCACAGCCAGATGCGATGTGGGTACCCTCTCAGTTGTAGTGCTTTTTTTGGGGGAGGCCAGCTTGGGGTTTAGATCCTCGAGTTCCCATTGGAAACCCCCACAGCTGAGATATCTTTCTGGAACTTCAGTTGCTGTCTGTGAGTGCTTGGCCAGCCCTTTCAAGCCTACACCCCTCCTACCAGTCTTTATGTGGTCTCCACTTTCAGTCCTCAGCTGTGAGGGTTCTCTCCTGTGAGTCTTCCGTTGATAATTCAGGAAGTTTTTCTATATTTTAGTTGTAATTCCAGTTTGTTCCTGGGAGCATGTCCATGAAAAAATCCATGTACTCTGCCTCCATTTTTGTTCTCTTGATCATTATTCAGTCTTGATTAGTCTCAGGCTATTGACTCCAGAGTTTGGGGAGAGGTTTTCCAACAGGGTGGGACAATTGCTTGCCCACCACCCCTCCTCCCACAAAGAAAAAGCTGGCTGAATGGTAAATATCTACCTGAGAAACATGTCCTCTGCAGTATGAAAGAAAGACTCAGCACAGAAAACTAGGGCAGCTTCCTTCTGAGCTCTTATCCCAGAACCCCCAAACCTGGATTCTGCTCACAAGGCTCTAGTCCACTCAGCCCTCCCTCTGCCAGAGCCCAAGGTGAGTGGCTTCACATGAAATTTTGTGTGTTGGTGCTTTAATAAGATACCTGAATTTCCAGCTGTCTTTCCTGGCAGACAGAAACCCCACTATTTTACACAACCAGTTGTCATGTGGGCACCTTTCTCAGTTCTGGTGCTGTGGGTGAGGGGCCCAGCTTGGTATTCAGACCCCAGAGTTCTCAGCTGAGGAACCCTCACAGCTGAGATATCTTCAGTTGCAGTCTGTGGGAGCCAAGCCAGCCTTCTCATGACTTCACACTTTCTACCAGGCTCAATGGGGTCTCCACTTTCCATCCTTGGTTATCAACATTGTCTCCAGCTAGTCAGCATTTGATTATTCAGGATAGTCTTTGTTGAAAAGAGGGGTTAAGAACATGGTTCAAACTTTAGGAGAAATGAGAAATGTCTTAGGGGTAGACCAAGCTAAACTTCAAAATCATCTTGATGTTTTACCAAAAAGTGAAATTTATCCCAGTGTTTTTACAAGAAGTATTAGTGATATTTTCCAAGATAAAAGAAATTCCACTTTTGCACAAATATAAGAGAATAGAGAAGTTTTATTATAGTAGCAATAAGCAAACAATTGTAATGGGTGGGGGAAACTGCGTGGGAATGAAGCACCTAGCGGTAAGTAATCAAGGTGTGGAGTGATTGCAATGTGGTGGCCACAGTGAGTTTCACAAGAAAAGGACAGAACTAGTTATTCAGTAAAGTGGTTACATATATGTTGCTTAAAGACTATCCACAGAATCATCTGCATATACTGAACATTGTTCTCTTAGCTGTTGAATCTGTCTTTTACTCTTCTGACATTTCACTTAGTTGAGTTCTAAGAAATCTGTTTTTCAAACAACTCTTTGTTCTTCAGTGGGCAGATAATAAGGAACAATTTCAGTCTTTCCATAAGAATGTAATTCAACACATTTATGGTCATTTAGAAAGAATTCTATAAACATCTCTAGCTATCCATTACCTAATGAAAATAATTGATTTATCTAATAGCATAGGTAAAATGATCATTGTCATTCCAAAGGTAAAAATGTGAAGTAGACGCTATAGGTGGAGATTATGTGCCAATCTAGAAAGAATCTAGAGGAGAAATGGTTACTAGGGATAAATACAGAAAGCTTGGAGTCACCGTCTTTTGGTCTCATGCATTCCCCTTCTGTGTGTCTAAGAAAGAGCTCAGTAGACAGAGATTATCCACACATTCTGCTTTGGAGTTTAACAAATTGAGAATGTGTCTCTCCCTGTAGAATAAATGAAATATCTACTAATTGACAACAAGAAACTTTACTACACTCCCCAGTCCTGAGAGCTTGAGAGATAGAAACAGATTTTTGGGGAATGAGATATATGGGGAAGGAACACTTAAAAATATGCAGGAGACAGTCAGATTTTCACTAAGCTTAATCTTCCTTGAACAGAAATGAGAATAAAAAGGAAGCAACCTTTAATGCTGTCAAGATTATGTCAAGCATCCCTTTCTGACTCTCAACTTCACTTCTGGCATTTTCCTGCCTTAAAACATAGTGACTCTCCCTTTCTGCCAATTCCCTCTTCATTACTGCCATGGTTTTTTCTTGCTCCAGTTTATCCTCCAGCCTTCTGATTTTTTCTTCATACTCCTTTACTAACTGCCTCTTATCTCTCTCCAGCTCTTCTCTGATTTGTTCTTGTATAATTTGAATTTGTTTCTGAATCTCCACCTCGGCCCTTTGGTACATCTTATTAGTATAGAATCCTCCCTCGTTCTCCATCACCATGCGCTGGACCAATTCCAGCAGCTGTGCCCTCTGATCCTCCTGTTCATCCCCTGTTGCCTTATTGTTGAACTCACAGTGACGACCCCTGAACTGCTCTATCAGATCTTGAATGCCTTCTGGATCCTCCTTTAAGTAATCACGGAGCTCCATGCCATCCAGGTCATCTTTCCGGGTGAATAAGAGAATCATGTATCTCCTAGCTTTGGGTCCAAACATTGACAGCATCTTCTCCACTGCCTTTTTCTCTTCGTTGGTGTATCGGCCCAGTGGGACCACCAGGAGCACAGCGTGAGGGCCAGGGGAGGTCAGGAAGATGCAATTGGCAATCTCCTTTTGTGTGTCAGCATCCGGTACCTCAGTGTCGAAAATGCCAGGTGTGTCCACAACAACAATTTCTCTCCCCCTCCACATGCTACTCCCTTTCTGACAGACCTTGGTGATGGATTTTGCTGCAATGCTAGAATGAAATGCTTTCTTTCCAAGGATGCTGTTCCCTGAGGCACTTTTTCCTGCTCCAGTCTTACCCACTAAGACAAGTCGCAGTTGTGAATCTCTGGGGTCTTGGTTTCTAAGCCCTGGGACATGAGGAAACAAAAAAAACAGCATTAGAATTGACTTCCAACATTTTCCACTGCAAGTACCCCGCCCACTGGTTTTTCTTTATTGCCCAATAGTGCCCTGTCGCTGAACCACCTCTGCACTCACAGGAGGTCTTTGAAACACCTGGGCCTCACCTCCCTCCTGAAGGAGGTGGGGAATGCTAGGAACTTCTCAGGAGTCCCTTGGGCTGCTCTCTCTAACCTGTGGAAGCTAAGTACCTATGGAAGAAGCTGCAAAATGGTTCAAGAGAAAACTCTGAGTTACTGCTGGTAGCTGTTCCTCATAAGCTAATGTAGGAAGTAACACAAAATCTGACTTGGAGTCATAACAGTGGAAGATCCCCTTCCCCCAAATGATATCCAAAATGGACTTTTATTCTTCCCATTAAGAAGTCACGTAGGTGGTCGATTCAAGTCATCCCACCCTGAAAGGGAGTAAAGGGCACGTGTGCAGAAAGGCAAAGTGTTCCTTCATATTTCAATGTATGCATCGAGCTTCTCAGGGATTCTGAACCACAGGAGAACAAAATGCCTTACTTTTAATTTATGACCTAAATGTAGAAACCTAATGAATTTTTCCTATCTTAAATTAGTATATAGAAGACTTCTATCCAGAAAGTAGTGACAGTTATCTGAAACTATTCTAAAATCTCTTGATACATAAATCATAGTAATAACAACTCATACAGAGTAGCAGTAGTGGAGTTACACTTTATTAGTTTCACTTGGTTAGACATGTCTACTTCCTAGGACACCTGGAACTTAATAACGGAAGAGCATAGCCTATCACCTGATATTTTAAAAATCACTGTGTCTTAAGTTAAACACCAAACCATCTATATAGCTCTTTATCCCTCTTTCCAGTCAGTATTTCTCTGCATATCTCTTCCATGTGTGTATAAAGTTGAAGTTGTCAGGATTTGTTGAGCACAGACCGGGACTATAGAAGTCAACTGACAAGCACATCTGAGAGCCTGTTTCTCCTCCAAGGAAGACCCTGTCAGCACAGCCCTTGAATAAGACTGATTCCTGCAGGAGGAAACCTGGATTACAATGATCTGTATCTTTGAGTCGATGTATACATTACCACACTGACAATATTACAGATAATATTGTAAACCCCATTTTATTTTTCAGAGATATCATCACCATTTACCCAGTACCTCAGACCAAACTAGGAATCTCTCCAGATTCCTCTCTCCATTACCTTCCACATCTGACCCATTGGCAAGTTCTCTTGCTCCATCCACAAATCTGACTGCTTCTCTCCATTCTGAAGACCATCATACTAGCCCAAGCTACCATCACCATCAATGACTCAGCAGTCCCCTAAGTGGTTTCTTTAATTCTGTTGTGCCCTCTTTTTCTATTCTGTACATTGGAATGAGTTTTTAAAAATATCAATCAAACAGAAGAGAGATTTTGCAGAACCTCCCCACTTGGGCTTCCACAAAATCAGTAGTTACTCCTTATCTCCCATACACTTTAAGGTGAAGCTGTTGCTAATCCAAGGATTAGCAAAAACCATTCCTAAGGCAGAGTATCCCGCATTTGATAACCAGAATTCTGCAATGAGAGAAGTATATCTCCAGAAGCTGAGAGCAGTGGCTACAAGATAGCTAAGTTGAAGAGAAAATGTGGGTGGGATCAGATTATTACTTAGTTAGCACCACAGTGGAAGACTCCAATCTAAGGATATCCTGAGGGCATTAGTTGGTCATCCAGAGAGAAGTAGGAAAATAATGGAAAGTGAAATGAAAAGTCACCAAAGGCCAGCTCCAATATTGCAACAATTTGCCAATGCTGATAGCATATGGCAGTCTGTTGATAGACTGCAGATATGGCCATGAATTAATCCCAGGTCTGTACACAAGCCTCTTTAGCATGTGGATTTGCAGCTCCTCCTACAAGGTGCTGAGTCTGTTTCTCCACCCCTTGCATCTGGGTGGGCCCTGTGACTTGGTCTGGGCAATAGGGCAGTAGAAGCATGATTCTAGTACACCCCAAAAGTGCTGATGCCCTGTGACTTGATGTCTCTTGCTCTTCAGAGCCCTGAAATTGATTGATGATGAATGACTCAAGACCCAGTCATTCCTATCACCCTAGTCTTGCCAAGAGCCTGCTAACCACCAGACATGGCAATGGGACTATCCATTCAAAAGTATCCAGTTGTTGGATCTTGAGAGTATTACCGGTATGGTAAGCGAAATAGGTCAGATGAACAAAGGACAAGAACTATATGATTTCACTTACATATGGGATATAAAAGAGAAAGCAACAAGGGAACAAACAATACGCATAAACAAACAAACTCATAGTCGCAGGCAGCAATATGACAGTTACCAGAGGGAGTGAGGGGTGGGAAGAGATTGAAGCAGGTAAAGGGGGTGAAATATATGGTGATGGAAGGAGACAATGCAATACGTAGATGATATATTATAGAATTGTACACCTGAAACTTATATAATGTTATTAATCAATGTCACCCCAATTAATTTAATCTGAAAAAAAGATTATCCAGTTGTATACTTAACCACCAGCTTACTGCCGGTGCATGAGTGAGTCTGGCTGAGATGAGCCCAGTTGGCTCAGACTCAAGGACTGCCCAGCTACCTACCAAATTGATTGCCAAAGAAATGGTTGAGGTTTTAGGGTACTAAGTTGTGTTGTGGTGTGGTACCAAACCAGCAAAAAATCAACTGATACAGTTGATTTCTATAGATAAGGAAGTAAAAGGAGGGTTACGTGAGAAACTGAGTGAGCGAGTCTGTTGGTTGGTTTCTACCTCCAAATGGATTCTACCTCCAAAACATGCCTCCAGGAGCAGGGAAATTAAGACCTGAATTAATCAATTCCTCTCACATTCCTCCAGTTGAAGAGAGGTTAAAGAGAGTGTCAGAGAGACAACCAGAGATTCTACCACTGGCCTTTCTGGTGTGTCCACATTGTTGAACTAGGAAATAAGAAACCTCATTAGCCTGGGATCAATCAGGATACTTTAACTTCTCTTCCTCTTAGAGGTTATGCTGTGTCATACAGAGTCAGTGCAGAGATTTGTTAGAAAAACTGAGTCAATTAAGAGAAAATAAGAAATGGGGTTGAAATATTTTGCTCTTGCTCGGATGAAGACTGGCAGAGAGGACAGGAGAACCCACTGCCAGGTTCCCTCCATCCCACCTGGCCTGGGGAGCGCAAGCACCCTCTCACCATGGCTGGTCCTGGGTTCACTGAAGTTGGAAGGCGTACAGTGCAATTGAGCTGCCATCGTAGTTAGAATTCCTGTAGATAAGAAACAGAACTAATTTTAGGGAAATGGATAGTAATTGCAAACCAAAACCGCATGAAGCCAACAGTGTTTTGTTTTTTGTTTTTCCCATAAACTTGCTACTTCCCTATTTCCCAACACTTCTCAACTCCCCATTGTCAGTTTCGTTTTCACTTGTGGCTTTTTCTCTACATAAACATGTTTCAAGTGCTTCCTCAGCTTTGGTTCTGGGTGCCCTTTCCCATCTATTCAGTAAATTATTGCTTTGAATGCTGTTTGTATGTACTCATAGCCTAGACCCTCCTCAGTATTTTGAACTTTTATATCCCATTCAACTTCCCCATTGGGCAAGTTCATGGGCATCTCAAACAGAACTCGACAAAAATGAAGCTTTTGACCATCTTCCAACCCCAAACCCCAGACCATGTAAATAATTCTGCCCCCATTTTGGTAGATGCCGACACCATTCAGCCAGTGACAGCTGCAGAACCTTGGGGTCAGCTTCGTCTCCTCTCTCCTCACTTGCTCGTAAGTCTACCATCAAATCCTATGGATTTTAACTCCAAAACATGTAAAATTATCCATTATTCCCACCTTTATCCTAATCCAAGCCACTTTTATTTGTTTGCCATGCTTACAGACTCCTAACCAATCATTTCATCTTCATCATTTCATCTTCAATCCTTTTTCTGCTCTATAATCAAGCACTTTTTTAAAACTAAATTTTATTTTTTATTTCCTCCAATGCCTCTCCCCCAAGCACCATTACAAAATATATATATATATATATATATATATATATATATATATATATATATATATATATATACTAGAGGCCTGGTGCACAAAAATTTGTGCACTCAGGGGGAAGGGGGGGTCCCTCAGCCCGGCCTGTGCCCTCTCGCAGTCTGGTACCCCTCGGGAGATAAGGACTGCTGGCTTAGGCCTGCTCCCAGGTGGCAGAGGGCAGGCCCAATCCCTAGGTGCAGCCCATGGTCGGGCTCAGTGCAGAGCTGATTGAGGAGTTGGGGCGCCACCCCTGTCATGCACAGAGCAGGGTGGATCTGGAGGTTGCGATGCCACCCTCAGTCACGCTCAGGGTAGGGCCAATTGGGGGGTTGGGGCACCGCCCCCTGTCACACTCAAGGCAGGGTTGATGGGCAGGTTGCGGCGCCACCCCCTGTCATGCACAGAGCAGGGCCAATCAGGGGGTTGGGGAGCACCCCCCTGTCACTCACAGAGCAGGGCCCATCAGGAGGGTTGGAGCTCCGTACCCTGTCACGCACAGAGCAGGGCCGATCTGGGGGTTGGGGAGCTCCCCCCTGTCACTCACAGAGTACGGCCAATAGGGGAGTTGGGGCACCGCCCCCTGTTACACACAGAGCAGGGCGGATCAGGGGGTTGGGGCGCCGCACCTTGTCACACTCAGGGCAGGGCTTATGGAGAGGTTATGGCTCTACCCCTCACACACAGAGCAGGGCCCTTGGGGGGTGGTGGGGGCGTCGCCCTCTATCACCCACAGAGCAGGGCCAATCAGGGGGTTGGGGTGCTGCCACCCACACTCAGGACAGGGCCGATGGGGAGGTTATGGCTCTACCCTGTCACACACAGAGCAGGGCCCGTGGGGAGGGGTTGGGGCGCCGCACCCTGTCACACACAGAGCAGGGCCAATCAGGGGTTTGGGACACTGTAACCTGTCACACACAGAGCTGCAGGGCGATCAGGGGGTTGGGGAGCTCCTCCCTATCAGGCACAAAGCAGGGCTGATCAGGGGGTTGGGGCACCTTCCCCTGTAGTGAACAGAGCAGGGCCGATAGGAAGGTTGTGGCCCCATCCCCTGTCACACACAGAGCCACAGGGCAATCAGGGGGTTTTGGTGCTGCCCCCTGTCATGCTGATCCCGGTGCTGGGAGGCATATTACCCTTTTACTATATAAGATAGAGGCCTGGAGCACAGCTGGGGGCTGGCTGGTTTGCCCTGAAGGGTGTCCTGGATCAGGGTGGGGGTCCCACTTGGGTGCCTGGCCAGCCTGGATGAGGGGATGATGGCTGTTTGCAGCTGGTCACACACCCTTCAGGGTGGGGGTCCCCACTGGGGTGCCTGGCCAGTCTGGGTGAGGGGCTGAGGGCTGTTTTCAGGCTGGCGGGTGACTGAAGCTCCCAACCGCTCCTTTTTTCTTTTCTTTTTTTATTCTGGGCCAGCTTTAGCTCTGGCTCCAGCTCTGAGGCCTCCGCTGCTGAAAGCAGGTTTCTTGCCTTTGTTTACCTTCTGTATTTGAAACAATGTTGCGATCCTGCTGGCTGAAGCCCGGCAGGTTTCTGGGGTTTTGTTTAGCTTCTATATTTGTAACATAGTTGCTTAGAGTTGCAGCTCAGAGGCCGGCAGCAGCAGGTGGGGAACGTTGGAGTCCTCCACCACTGAAGCAAGCAAGCCTCATGTTCGCTTTAAGCTGCCTGGCTGCCGGTCGCCATCTTGGCTGGCAGTTAATTTGCATATTGCCCTGATTAGCCAATGGGAAGGGTAGTGGTCGTACGCTAATTACCATGTTTCTCTTTTATTAGATAGGATATATATATATATATATATATATATATATATATATATATATATATATATATACACACACACAGCTGTGCTGAGGTCTTCTTGCTATTTGCTCTAATCACATTCCCAGGGGTTCCAACAGAACACATCCTACAGTAGGAAGCTGTTTGTCTGTTTTTTACTATACCCCTTTAGATTCTGAGCTTTGTGATGATAATAGGATCATCTGTGTCTTTCATTTCTCTTATTACCTGGGATAAGCACAGTATCGGACAGAGAGTGGTTCTCAATAAATATTTGTTAATCCAATAAGTCAATCAAAAATCTTTCTGATTTTTTGCTTCTTTTCTGATATTTCTGCCCAGCACATATCTGTGAAAAAGGTTATTCTTTTCTTATTCAATGCGTAGAGTCATAAAAACATGCTATTACAGTTTAAATACTTTTTCTCTTTGCTACTTAAAAACATTTGGTAATGGGGAAAGTGTTAAAGGGAGTGATTTAAGAAGAACATGAAATTGAGAGAAAGTAACATAGGCATAAAGAAAAATGGCCGGAAATGATTACCTATCAATAATGAACTTAAATGTAAATAGATTACATACTGCAACAAAAGACACAGTCTATATTCATGGATAAGGAAACATGAGCCATATATATGCTGTATACAAGATACCCACCTCAGAACAAATGATTCACACAGACAGAAAGTGAAGGGACGGGAACATTTTTTCCATGCAAATGGAAACAGAAAATGCAAGGGTAGCAATATTTATATCGGACCAAATAGATTTCAAAGAAAAGAATATAAGGAAAGACAAAGAAAGCCACCACATAACACTAATGGTATCAATACAAGAGGATATAACCATGGTATATATCTATGTGCCCAAAGAAGGAGCACTAAATATATATTTTTAAATCTTCTTGAGGATGTTAAGAGAGAGATTGACAGCAATACAGTCATAGTAGGGGATTTTAACACCCCACTGACATCACTGCTTAAATCTTCCAATCAACAAGGTAAAAGTGACCCTAAAGGAAACACTAGATTAGATTAATTTAATTGATATTTACAAAACATTTCATCCCAAAGTTACAAACATACACTCTTCTCAAGTGAACATGGATTATTCTCAAAGACAGAGACACAAAATAAGTCTCTACAAGTTCAAGAGAATTGAAATCATATTAAGCATCTTCTCGGATGACAATGGCATGAAACTAGAATCAATTACAATAAAAACATTCAAACCCATGGAGTCTAAGCAATGAATGGGTTACCAAATAAATCAAAAAAGGAAGAAAAAAACTTTTTGGAAACTATAATGAAAATTAACAAACAACAGCCCAAAATCTATGGGACATCGCAAAAGCAGTCCTGAGTGGGAAGTTCATAGCATTCTAGTCCTACCTCAAAAAGCAAGAAAAAGTTCTAATAAAATATTAACACTACAGCTAAAATAACTAGAAAGAGAACATCAAGAAAATCCCAGAGTAAGCAGAAGGAAGGAATTAATAAATATCAGGCAAGAAATAAATGTCACAGAGACTTAAAAAAAAAAAGTACAAAACATCAATGAAACCAAGAGCTGGCTCTTGAAAAGATAAACAAGATTGATGAACCTTTTGACAGACTCGTCAAGAAACAAAGAAAGCGGACCTAAATAAGACAAGTGAGAAATGAAAGAGGTGAAGTAACAACCTACACCACAGAAACACAAATATGAACAACTATATGCCAATAAGCTGAACAACCTGAATGAAATGGAAAAATTCCTAGAAAAATACAATCTTCCAAAACTGAATCAGGAAGAATCAGAAAACCTGAATAGGCCAATAACAACTGATGAAATTAAAGAAGTATTTTTAAAAACTCACAACTAACAAAATCTCTGCTCCAGATGACTTCACATGGGAGTTTTGCCAAACATTCAAAAAAGAACTAATACCTATCCTCCTTAAATAATTCCAGAAAATCCAAGAGGAAGAAAGACTTCTAACTGCTTTGTATGAGGCCAATATTACCCTCATTCCCAAACCAGATAAAGACACCACAAAGAAATAAAATTATAGGCCAATATCTCTGATGAGCATGGATGCTAAAATCCTCAACAAATTATTAGCAAATTGGATCCAGCAATATATTTAAAAGATCATATACCATGACCAAGTGGAATTATTCCAGAGATGCAAGACTGGTATAATATTTGCAAATCAATAAATGCAATATATCACTTAAACAAATTGAAAGACAAAAATCACATATCATATAAATAGATGCAGAAAAAGCTTTTGACAAAATCCTACACCCATTTTTGATGACAACTCTCCACAAAATGGGAATACAGGGATCATACCTCAACATGATAAAGGCCACATATGACAAACCTACAGCTAACATCATACTCAATGAGCAAAAACTAAAATCATCTCCCCAAAGAACGAGAACAAAACAGTGATGTCAGCTTTCACCACTCTAATTCAACAACAGAGGC